CAGCAATGCAGAGCATGCAGGCAGTAGGGGAGTAGGAGCATGTGAGGTACGGCACTGTACTTCTAACAAGCGCACGCAATGCCCGGAAGGCACTTTACAGGAAGTAGATGCAGCAGAGGAGCGGCGAACCCGGGGGATAGACAGCCGAGAAGGGTGGGGTTGGGCGAGAGTGAGATAGAGAGGGGTGGAGAGGGGTACCGCAGGGAATGAAGGTGTTGGGCGGCAGAGGAACGGCTCCCCTGGCATAGGGATTGCATTCCTTGTCGAAGTAGTAAATCACCTGCATGAGCAGTGAGCACAGCACCACCATCCCCACCACCACACCCCCCCCACCACCACACACACACACAGCATGGCACATACACAGAAGCAGGAAGGCATGAAAACAGCTGGAAACAGCCTATCCTTCCACTGGCCTGCCAACAGCAGCCGTCCCCAGTGGAATCCCATCCCATCCCACTCATCTGCGTGCGAGGCACGTGCAGGCGCGGCTCACCTCGACGGCGGGCATGACGGAGAGCTTCTGGCCTCACCTCATCAGCGGGCATGACGGAGAGCTTCTGGCCTCACCTCAACAGCGGGCATGACGGAGAGCTTCTGGCCCGTGATGGAGTCGCGGATGTAGTCGCACTGCCCGTAGATGGACTTTATGTCCGCCTCCCCGCATGGGCGCGTCGAGCTGATGCCTGCCGCCCGCAGGGGAGGGGGGAATGGGGGAGGCTGGGGGATGGTGGTGAGCCTGTTGCCTTGCGACATGGCTAGGGCCAATGGTGGCGAGCCAATGGTGGCGAGCCAATGGTGGCGAGCCAATGGTGACGAGCCAGGACACGGGCGACGAGGGTGCGCTTGGTGGGAAGACGAGGGGAGGAAATAGGGGAGAGGAGGGAGGCCAACAGGAGCAGATAAGGTGTATCGGGCATGTGGTAGTTAATGGTTATGTATGGCTGTGATGGGGATGTGTGGATGTGACACGTATGGCGGGGCGAGCAGGGAAGGCGGGGCGGGCAGGGAGGGGGCGTACTGCAGTAGACGGGGTCGACGACGATCTGAGGAAGGCCGCCGCCACTGGGCGAGTCACAGTCTGCACAGCGCACGCACACGCACGAGAGGCAATCATGAGGCCCGTGCATGCCCGTGTGCCGTGCATGGTGATAGTCCACGAGCATGTGCATGCATGGTGATCGATAGGGCATGACCGTGCATGCAATGCAATGCAATGCAATGCAATGCAATGCAGGCCGTGATTGGTAAGGGGAAGAGGAGAGCACGAGAAGGTAGTGGAAGGGGAGGGGGAAGAATACGAAATAGTACAAGCAGTTTTTTGAAAGGTAATGTGCACATCACTGAATCAGTACATTCGCTCTCATGCGCCCTCACTCACACACACACACCCACTCACGCGCGCATCAGCCTCACACATCCACTCACGCGCATGAGTGTGTGTGTGACAGCCACTCACTGGTGCCGATGTAAGAGAGGTAGCACTGGCCGCCATTCTCCAAGTACTTTGGCTCGTAGTCCTCCGGCGTGCACACTGGGGGGGGGTTGCGCAGAGGGACGCCCAATTGACCCAACGGATGATCAAACAAGGGAGCGCTGGGACCGTGTGGTACAAGTAGGAATGAGCATAGCATGGTTCAACAATAGCACCACGAGCACCGTCACGTGCTCCACATGATCGTGTCGTGTGGTCCATCCATGCCATGCCATATGGGTCCACCTAGCATGGTCCACGCATGCAGCATGTGTCCATGCAACATGGGTGCTCACCACATGGTTCGTTGCGCATGGGGATGTCGGGGAATGCGTCCGTGCAGTTGCGCACTTTGACGTAGGTCACTTCGCGCTTGCCGTCTGCCACATACAACAGTTTGACGGGATTGACGGAACAAGCGAACGGGATCCATAAGAATGTAAATGGGAATGAAATACCACGTGAATCGGAATTGAAGGACATGTGAATGAAATTCGCACGTGATTGGAATACGAGAAGGTGTAAAGGAAACCTGACTGACACGTGAATTGTGAGGTCATGTGATCGCATTCATGATTAATGACTGCATGGACCACGCAAGTGCCACATGCTGCACCCGACATGGCCCAGCACGCGATGAAGAAAAGCCATTTTCCTTCGCGCCATACGAGACCCTCCGTCTTTCGCGACGAGGCTACCGTCCGTCATTCAAGCACATGCGGCGCGCGTTTTCTGTTTGCGCGATAGGCGTCCGCAGTCCACTCCCTGCCCCTCTTCGCAGATCCCATCGTCTCACCTTGGCAGGGCTTCGACATTCTGACGTAATCCGTCAGGCCGCACGTGGTGGGCAGCTCGTCGCCCACCACCGACCCCACCACGCCCACATCCTCGATGCGCGCACTCGCGTTCGCCGCGGGAGGCGGTTCCGCGAACGGCACCGGCTGATACGGCGGAGGCGATGGCGGAGGCGGAACCTCCGGATCTCCCCATTGCTGATCCGCCGGTGTCTCGCTCGGCGCGCTTGGATTCGGCTGCACGGCGCCCTGCGAAGCGCCCGGAACAGGCTGGTACCCGAGATTCTGCCCGCGCCCTTCCTCCCACGGCAGATTGCCGCCCAGAGGGTCCGAATGATTGCCGTTTCGCTCCGGGAACGGCAGCCCCCCCTCCATCCATGGCGGTCGCTGACCCGGCTGCCATGGCGTCGGCCGGCCGTCCTGCGGCTGCGGGATTGCTGGAGTCGGTTCTGTAGTGACCTGCGCGCGGTTGCAGGGTAAACTACAAAGAGTAATAAATAGCGCGAATAGAATACATGCCGATTTGCTTCTAATGAAGCATCGGCGTGTCGCCATCGTAAAATGCCGAAAGAAGCTGCTGGATCCAAAAAAATTAGCTGGGAAACAGCCCGTATCCCCGTAAACGGCGTTTAGACACCAATTGGTGCCAAAATTACTCTCAGCAAACGAACTAACATGGAGAGTCTAGGTCAAGGTGGGATCTTGAACCATCTCTCTACAATAGCCGGCAATCCCCAAACATTGGAGCCAAACACGAGGAAATGGCATCACGGTGAGAGCTGATGAAAGGAATCGGTTGGGATTGACGGAACAGAGGGGATGAAAGGGGTGATGTGGGCTGGTCAAGTTGGGTAGAAGAAACGACACCGACCAACGGCAGCGCCTATTGCTGCTGCAACGCAAGGTGTGGTGGGTGTGGAGTAACTCGTTTGAAGGAATCGTAGAAGGAATCTCGATGCCAGTGCAGTATATTTCCTAAAAATGTACGATGAAGTACTCGAACCAGCTAAATAACATTTGTAGATATTCACTCGTTATTTTCATTTCACGTAGCGGAGCGCTAGCCACAATTGTGGTATGTCCGTCTCGAAGCATGCTATAATGGTGAAAAGCGGCCAGGGTGTTCTGATCGCGAAGAGCTGACGCACGTCAGAAGCTGGTTGTCAGCTGCGGTTTTACAGCACCAAGGAAACAGACCTGCCCTCACCCACTTGCCGAACGTACCTTCCCGTCATCTGTCCGTCCAAACCCAATCTCGGACCTTTCTCGCCCGTCGATTTCACAGACTTGACGAAACCTGGGCCCCTGTATTCCCAAGGCTGGTTCACCTCTTGCGGTCTGCTCTGCGCCTCCCTCCCAAACAAGGGAAAGTATGTGCTGGCTACTATGGTTTTAGGATTCTCTCAAATTTAGTCACAAGGTTTACTCAATCAGTGCGACTCATTGCGATTTCGTTCACGCGACCTCCCACATTATGTTCAAAGTTGGTACTGCAGGCAAAATTGTTTGACACGTGTCAGAAAAAAATAAAACCCCTAGGGAAGCTGGACGCAATTTCGGGAGGGATCAACCCTGAAAACGGGAACCTGTTTAGGGTTGATGCCTCCCCGAGTCGCATCCCTTTCCGATTGGGTTTTAGTTTTTGTCAGCGTAAAAAATTGACACGTGTTGAAACTTTTGAGTGGCAGTATGAGTCGTGAACATAATCTGGTATGTGTTTTGAACAATTTGTCGGAAAGCAGTAGTGTTCGAGTAAACCCAGTATGAAATTTGAACGGTTTTCAATAACCAGGTAGCCAGCACATGCTTTCCCCCCAAACAACCTCGATGTTGCCAACCAAAACCAGCGCTTGCAAGGGATCGCACTCTTGTCCTGCGCTGGTTCAGCGCAGTATGTGAGAACCAGTGGAGGTCAGAAGAGATCACTAACTTGCTGACTTGGGTCTAACTGCAGAGGTGTCCTCCACCATTCACTTCGCCATGTCTTAGCGCAAGGGCGTTTATGTTCTGTCCTATAAAGACACCTGTACAGTAGAATACATCGTGTAGACCGTGACAGTGCACAAGGCTGTGTGCTTCTTAAACATATTCGCAATGCCGGTTGCAGAGAGCAGTCGTCTCTACGCGCCAACGCGGTCCTCTCTCGCTAAGGCGCGCGCCGTCAGTCCACCGTCACAGCGACGCCTCTCCCCCGCAGGCAGCAGCGGAAATGGTGCGCAGGGTTCCGAGCCACGTGCTGGTTCAGCCCGATCTTCGCCCCCGAACAGAACCGCTGCGCCTGCAGGCAACGGCCTCGCGCGAGCAATCGGAGCAAGGAGCAGGGAGAGTCAGCGCGTCGAGGTCTCCGCAGAGACGCGGAGATGGTCTGCGGGGAGCGGTCCTGCGCGTTTACCATCCCTTTCGTCTCCCCCTACCTCTCCGCGGTTCACTCGGCGCAGGGATGTCTCCTCCCCGCCTTCCTCTCCCGGCCTCGGACCCGGCCGTCCGTCCCGGCGAACAGACAACGCCCGAGATAACGGACACGTGGCACTGGGGAGGCAGGGGCTAGCGGTGATGCAGGGACGGCGGCTGTCGGATTCGAGCTCAAGTGTGTCGGTGCTGGGAGTGGTGGAGGAGCAGGCGGGGGACACGGGCGAGGGGTCGCGGCAAGGATCAGTGGACGCGTTCGAGGCGATGAGCAACAGCAGCCAGATCAGCGACTCCGGTAGCTACAGCGGCTCCGCGCCCACCACCGCGCGGAACGGTCATGCCCAAGCCACGGACGCTGCGAGGCCGACTCGTTTGGCTCTTGAGCCGCGCCTAGGCGGGCAGGCAGCTAGACTAGCCACGCCTGCTGACGTGGACAGGTATCACGAGAGCGGTCGGCAGTTGGGGCAAATGTTGCGGGGGGGCGCGGGACCGGCGCGCATTGTCAGCCCCGCGGAGCGCGCCGTCGCCGCGGAGCTTGCGACCTTGGCGGATTCCATCACGGATGCAGACGTGTATGCCCCGTCCCCCGCCGCAGCCGCGCTTATGTCCGCCACGGACGGCCTCTTCTCCGCCGCTTCCGCTTACGCCTCCGCCTCTGTTCCCCCGCCCCCTGGCGCGCCCTCGCCGACACCCCTCTACAGTCTCTCCGCGCATCAGCCTGTCTCATCCTCCCCTTGGCCCCCGATGGTTGTTGCGCTTGCGCGTCCGCCTGATGCGGGTCTGGGGGGACTTGATGTGAGGGCGCGACTGGGGCGGACACTGGGTTACGGGAGCACGGGCGGAGGAGGGGATGCGGGTGAGGGTTTGGCTACAGCGGGGTCGGGCATTGAGGGGCAGGGCGTGGAGCGGCAGCAGCAGCAGCCAACGAAGGACGCCAAGGAGCTGGCGCGCTCGCTGCTGCGGCAGCTGTCCGGCGGCAAAAAGGGGCCGCTGGGGGGAGGCGCGCCTCAGGTCATCGCGGTGCGCAATCGGAGTGGGGAGGAGGCGGCGCAATGCGACTTCGTAGCCTCGGGAGTGTCGGCTGCAATGCGTGAGGATGGCTTGGGCGAGCAGCGGCAAGGGGGGGTGAGGGCCACGAGCACATTTGCAGGTCGAGCGGCCGAGATCGCCAGGGAGACAGAGCCGGAGGAGGTTGACTCGGTAATGGTTCAGCGAGGTGCTTATAACGAGAAGCAGCGCGGTGCTATTGAGAGGACAGGCGGTGGCGTGATGGGCGGTGCGAGTTTCGACGATGACGTGATGGTGATGGCGCGAGAGGGCGAGCAGCATGAAGAGACGGCCTCGTGGAGACAGCCGTGGTCGCTGCGACGACCACAGCTCGACGACGTGCCCCCGCAACAGCAGCAGCAGGAGGAACGGCAGCAGGAGCAGCAGCAGGAGCAGCAGGAGCAGCAGGAGCAGCAGGAGGAAGAAAGGCTGGAGCGGCAGCCGGAACAGGTGCCGCAGCAAGTCGAATTGCAGGAGCAATTGCAAAAGCAAATAAAGTTGCAGCAGCAAGCCGACCTGCAGCAGCAGGAAGAGGAGCGATCAGAGGAGACGGAAGCAGAGAGTTCGCAGGAGGAAGAGGAGGAGCTGCTTGTGCGCATTCGAGCAGAGGAGCAGGCGGTGCAGCAGAGGCAGCAGAAGCTGCCGTCGCAGGCAAGCCTTTTCCAGCAGCAGCAGCAGCAGCAGGGGCAGCAGGGGCAGCAGCAGGGGGCGGCGGGAAGCAGCCCGGTGTCGACTCTGGATGTGGCGCTGAGCAAGGGGTCCCCCTCAACCGATGCAGGTGAGGAGGACGACGGGGTGGCCTTGCACGAGCACATGCACGCACTCGCGGACGCCCACGCCCACTGGCTCGCCGCGGATGCCAGCCCAACGGACGACCCGCCGGCCGAAGCGGACGTGGAAGAGTGTGGCGGCGCAGAGGCAGAGGCAGAGGCAGGCGGGGAAGCAGAGCGCGTGTGTGGCGATGAGCCTTGCGTGCCTGCCCAAGAGGCGCTGCCCCTCTCGTGCACACAAGGTGCCTGCCTCACCGTCCCTCACTGTGCCGGGGACCTGTCACTGTACCATGCCTGCCGTGCTGTGCCATGTGTCTCTCTTGCATGTCAGCCAGTGCTGTGTGTCACTGCATTGTGCATAGATGGACGAACCTCTTAGCATCATGCTTCACATGCCTAGTAGCATCACATGGAGTGACCCTTATATATTCCCTATTCTCCTGCTGTGCCCTGAATTTCCTCCTGACATTTTCTTCCTCTCCCTCCTCTGCTCCCAATCTACTCTCGCTGTGCAGGAGACAAAGCACCCGACTCGTCCGTGCTCGCACCAGCAAACCCTCCTCCTCCCACCACCGCCGCCACCCCCGCAGCAGGACCACTCCAACCGTCCCTTGCAGCACCCCCTCCTGCTCTCCCGCTGCCACCGCTTGAGTCTCTGAGCACGGTGGATCTGGCCACACTCGCCTTTGTGCCATCACCAGCGGGCATGGAGGAGGACCTCGAGTACATCCGCTACGTGCTCGTCGCTGCTGGCTTCGCCAACCGCTCCCTCCCCCCTGCCGCCTCCCCAACTGCGCCCATCAGCGCAGCCGTGTTTGAAGTGCTGGAAGCCGAGTTCCTGTCGCTGGATGGCATCATTGTTGACCCTGCCAACCCCCTGGGGCCCGTCACAGCGCCAGCAGCACCCGGGGGCAAGGCAGGAGGTCCGAGCGCATCATCATCAGAAGCAACAGCAGCAGCAGCAGCAGATGGGTTGTCGGAGAGTGAGAGCCTACCGTCAGATGCAGCGCCGGCCTTCTCCTCACCAGCCCTCCCTGCCAACTACCCCGACGAGCGGCGGCAGCGCCGCCTCCTCTTTGACGCCGTGAACGAAGCTCTCGGCCGCCGCCTCTCGCCCTTCCTCCTGCCCTCCCAGCCCTGGCAGCGCCTGCACGCTGCCCGGCCTGCACCCTTGAGGAAACGGCCAGCAGGGCGACGGCTATTGCAGGAGGTGTGGGCAGAGATTCACTCGTGGGCCGTGCCCATGTCTGATGACGTGTTTGACACCTTGGATGACCTGGCACGAAGGGATTTGTGGAAGGGACTGGACACGTGGCTTCCCTTGGATAAGGCTGTGGATGACGAGGTGCCAGATGTGGTGTTTCAATTGGAGGACGTGCTGATGGGGGAGTTGATTGGGGAGATGTGTGCAGAATGGGTGGAGATAGGGAGGAGAAAGCAGAAAGGGAGAGATGGAATGTATGAGTTGATGGATGGAGGGAAGAAGCATGGTGGAGGGAGTGATGTGGTGTTGGTAGCAGGAAAGGATGGTTCTAAGGCAGGTGCAATTGCCCTGGAAGAAAAGGACAGTGGTTCAGCAAGAGGGTCACCGGTTGGCAGTGCAAGCAGGTCCCTAAGGTGGCTGAGGCTTGGGAGACGAGGGATTTCAACTGACGTTTGACACCAGTCCTAACACCAGCGCTGAGGCTAGACTAATCTAGCCAAGCGCAGGATCTGAATTGTGATGAGTTGGTAATGCATGCAATGTTCTTCCAACACATCCCGTTTGTTACACCTGATTGACATCCTCGTACCAGGTCGTGCAATGCCTTTTGCAATTTCTTTTACAAACAAGTTGCTGCAGCCTTCCCTTTTCGTTTATTTAACGGAGTGTGCATCTCTACAGCTCCCAATTGTCATGATTTGTGAAACGCCTGCACTGCTCTGGTCGCTCGTGCACTGCTGCGGAGTTCGTACAATGTATCCTTTCACCCCTGCTTCGTCAACGTCGAAGGTCATCCAGCCCTAGTTCTAAGTTAGCGCAACAGTCGGCAGCTCGGACACCGTTCTTCCTGGACAGCAGACGCACGCAGCCTGGCCGACAGCGGCTTGGGTAACCTCCATCGCTGTATTATCGTACTAGGTGGTGTGTAGGCGACTCCGTTTTTCTACCCCCGAAAATGGCTGCCACCGCCGCTGCGATTGCCGCGTCTAGACCAGATGGTTACTTGATAGCCATGATCGCAGATGAGGTAGGGAGAACTTGGACCTGCGATCCCTCACAATAATGTTCGCGTCTTTTTCCTCACACCGAGTTCGCGTAGGTGGGTAGAAGGTCACGACAAATGACATTTTTCCCTCACGTTATTTCCTGCTCCCGCCCAGGACACGATCACCGGATTTCTGCTGGCCGGAGTGGGCCACATGGACGTGCGGCGACGGAAGAACTATCTTGTCGTCGACTCCAGTGAGCTTCCCGCCACTGTCCCTGAGTCTTATTTGTTCGATTTCCCGCTGATCAGGAGGTGTTCTGCTCGTGTGTTTCCAGAGACCCCTGTGCGGCAGATCGAGGAGTCGTTTAAAGAGTTCAGCAACAGGGAGGACGTGGCCGTCATTCTTATAAGCCAATACGTGGGTCGCCTCGCATGATCGTTCAACAGGGAACTGCAGTATCATTTACGTTCATCTCAACGTACTTACGGTTTACCCTCATTCTCGCCATTGAAGCGTTGCTCCTGTGCCGTGCAGATCGCCAACATGATTCGGTACAGCATCGACACCTACAACAAGCCCATACCAGCCGTGTTGGAGATCCCTAGCAAGGAGCACCCGTACGACCCCAACCAGGACTCCATTCTCTCGCGCGTCAAGCACATGTTTGCGTCCTCTGAGTCCGTCTCTGACTCCAGGATCTGACACGCCCCGCGCACGCTCACATCCTCTCAGCCCATCTCCAAATCGTTTCCCTTTGTACTCTGCAGATCCCGATCCCGTTTGTTTCTCCCATGCTATGTACTCTGCAGCCTGTCCCTGCCCTGTACGCACGCTGTGTGCAGGTTTGTTGCCTATACGCTAGACCGTTCCCATTCTGTAGTGGCTGTTGCTTATTGCTTTGTTTCCTTCTCGGATTAGACAAGGGATGAATGACAAAGCTGTATCCATGCATTTGGTGCGGTCAAGTCACTGTATTGATGAAGCCTGTACACTATCACCTCACCGCAAAGGTGGTGACAACCGAATCTTCCCACATAGGAGCTATCAAACAAATCAGGTCCTTGGCATGATGAGGTGTGCAGAAGAGTGGAGGGGGCCATGTTACATGTCAGGCGTGGCCTCTTCTGTGACAATAGTGAGTGCGACTGTCTTCCCATTGGCTCTCTTGACGACGAGGGGCACCTTCACGCCCACCTTGTCTCCCAGCAAGTCCAGCACCTGGCGGGAGGACGTCACTGGCTGCCCAGCAAACTCCACTATCACATCCCCCGGCTGCAGCCCACCCCTTGCTGCAGGCGAGCCAGGAATGACCTGGAGGGAGGTTGGGAGAAGAGCTAAGGACACTGTGAGACGGTCAAGAGGAAACAAGGCAGCAGCTCAACCAACGCAGGGCTATACTACCAGTGTTGGTCTGGCTGGTAAGAGTGGTATCATTACAGACATGAACCTCATACCACACGCCACCTGAGCCAACTGTGGTGGCTCCCAAAACAGCTCACCTGGGGGACGAGAATGCCGGCATCAACCGGGGGGAAGGAGGGGTCTCTGTCCCTCAGCTGTGCTGCAATGGACGCGTTCAGCTCCAACATCTTGATGCCCATGAATGGCCTCACCACTCTCCTGCACATGAGGGGTGAGGCGAGGGGGTTGGCGGAAAAGGGTTGAGACGTAAGACAAGAGGCAGAAGAGGAAAAGCTGACCTTGTCTGATGAATTCCTCTAGTCCCGCACGCAAACTCTGCTTTCAAGATCTACCCTACAAGCACAGTTTCTCACTATTCATGGACTACAAAGCCGAAGGGAATGATGGAACAAACTCCTTCGTTACTGTGCCCCCATGCCTCCTTCGTTACTGTGCCCCCATGCCTCCTTCGTTACTGTGCCCCCATGCCTCCTTCGTTACTGTGCACCCATGCCTCCTTCCCCCTCTGTTCTCCTCCAATGCCAATCTCTAACCTCCCTCTGTTGATTAGGTCCCACTCATCCATGGCGGAAGAGCTGGTGGAGGATGTGCAGGCGGAGTTGATTGCGATGGCAAACCTCACTCCATCGGCTGCTGTGCCCCCATGCCCCTTAACGCCTCTGTTCTCCTCCTATAGCGAACCCCTGGGTTCAATAGTGCTGCTCAGTGCTCACCCGTGGCGGGAGAGCTGGTCGAGGATGTGAACGGCGGAGTCGATGGGAATGGCGAAGCTGACCCCATCGGCTGCCAGCGCCTTCATGTTGTTGATGCCCACCACCTCCCCGTCCAGATTCACCAGCGGCCCCCCGCTGTTCCCCTGCTCCCCCACCACGTGTCACACGCACACACGTGTCATTCATGGTTCGTGAAAACGGACTTGCCAGCTGGCATGAGCACGTGGATACAGATCTATGGTATGGGTGTATAGTACGCGGACGGCATGGCAGGGACTGGCGTGCATGTGTTCGTGGGATTGTTGCTGCTGTGCATGTTCACACCGCATTGATGGCTGCATCTGTTTGAATGTAATCCATCCGCCCCCCCCTCAGGCCCAGCTCGGTGCCCTTGCGATCCACACAACTGCAAGTCACCATGGGACGGCGGAAGAGAAACAGCCATTGGCAACATGCAACCAGAAGGGAACGGTGAAATGTATTTTCATTTAACCAGAAAACACCGTTTGAGACGGCTAGCTGATGCTGTTGGGCGGTGTACCATCAAGACAACAGCCTGAAAAACCACCTGATAGAATGCCCAACCATCACCAGAATCTGAAGGCGCCGCCAGCACCAGCTGAAGGTGCAGGCAGCAGCACTTGAAGGCGCAAGCAGCAGAACGGGGTGCGCACCTGACGATGCCGGCAGTGACGGTGTTGGAGAGGTGCAGCGGCGATCCCAGCGCCACCACCCAGTCCCCCGGGCGCAGCGCCTTGGACGACCCTAGCTTCACCACCGGCAGCGGTGAGGGGGCCGACACCTGATGCAGCAAAGAGGGTGGGGCGGCAGAGAGCAGGGGTGGACAGCCACACGCTCGGTGAGTGCTGCGCTCCTATTTTGATGGGGAGCAGTACCGTGATGATAGCGTGGTTGGTGGTAGAGAGTGATGGGGTTAGCATAAGAGAAGCTCAACAGGGAGGCAAGGGGGATGGACGCGGGAGGTACGCGAGTGGTGGGACAGGTGGGTAGGAGAAGGCTAGGAGCACCTTGACAAGGGCGATGTCAGAGAGCGAGTCGAAGCTGAGCACGTGACCGTCAAAGGTGCGCCCGTCCTGCAGCGTCACCTGCAGCTGTTATTATGAGGGCGAGCAGAGGGGCAGGGCAGACAGCAGTTGGCACGTGCGGCAGTTCACATGCCACCACAAGCAGAGGTGAATGGGGACGAGGGACCAGGCTCAAGTAGGGGCACGGGCAAGCCTGGTCAACACCGCACAATGCATGGTGCACACCACCTGTAAGCACTCTCATCTCACGCTCACTTCTCCTCATACGATGCCGTCCATTGCACACCCCAGCCTCATTCCCTGTTCCCAACTCCCCCCTTAACTTGCTCCCCCAACCCTTACTCTGCCCCGAAGCCCCTCACCCCGCCCCACCCAGCGCCCCCCACCCAGAGCCCCCAGCCAGCGCCACCCGCCCAGCGCCCCCCGCCCAGCGCCCCCCGCCCAGCGCCCCCCGCCCAGCGACCCTCACCCAGCGCCCCCCGCCCAGCGACCCTCACCGTGGCGCGGGAGCTCCAGTAGGGCGCGGAGGAGGCGGAGGGGTCGACCATCTCGGCCACGACGTGCGCGTTGGTGAGAATGAGCCCGTCTGCGCGGATTATGGCCCCCGACCCCATCGCCTGCCCGCTGAACATGCCCCTGCCTGAGGGGGTTCGTGAGGGGGGCAGGGGGGGGAAGGGGGAGGGGGAAGAAGGGGCAAAAGAGGGGGAGGGGTGAGAAAGGGCAAAAGAGGGGGAGGGGGGAGAAAGGGCAAAAGAGGGGGAGGCAAGAGGATGAGGGTGAGGGGAACGGGAGAGGCGACGGATACATGATAGTGCATTCTTGCAGGCCACACATACATGAATCCACACATGCGCGCGCACACGCGCACGCGCGCACGCACACACACACACACACACACACACACACACACGTGCACACAGTCGGCCTCCGCTCTCCTTCCCGCCCCCCAACTTCTTCCCCCTTTCCCCTTCTCCCCCCCAACACACACACTCACAAGGACACACTGTCCACTCCACTCGCCCACACTGTCCACTCCACTCACCCACACTGACTGTCAGATTTGTTGGTGTAAGGGCCTAATAAACTCAAGCTATTAGGACTTAATCAAACTTAAAACCTCTCCTCGGGGTCACCTCCAAGGGTCCCTGGGTGCCTGGTACAAGACCAGCCCCTATCCTCGGGTCCGAGTTTGTAGAGAGAGGGATCAAGAAGGACTTAGTCAAAACAGCAAGAGTACCTTGAACGTCGCGCAGCGTGCCGTGCAGACCGTCGATCGGATTAAGCTGAGAATTCGCTATATCGAAGCTCGCTCCAAGAGCTTTAAAATGAGCCAAGTTGCCTCGCGAAAAGTTCTGCCATTACTAAGTTACGGCTCGGACAGCGTTTGCCTAGCGTTGGAGTGCTAGCATACTAGCGTTGACTTGGGTAGCATTCCGCCGTCGAATAGCGCAGAAACGAAATTCCAGCGAGGAAGGAATTCGCTTGAATCAATTTGACTATGTTCAGGTACAAACAGAGAATGATTAAATAGTTCTAGCTAGCAAGGACCTTGGGAATCAACCTGGGAACAACCAGGGATGATCCCAAATAATTCCAAGCAACAGAACCAACCTGGCTGGACAAAATAGCAGGTGGTAGGTTGGTAAACAACCTCTGGTTTTGTTTTTCCAACCTGGGAAAACAACAACCAGGTTCAGGTTCTAAAAACAGAACATGTTTTGTCTTTGCCCAACCAGCCAAATGCTGGTTCCGCTGGTTTCCCCTGGCCTTGTAGCATGCAGATACAGACAAACAACATCCAACCTTCACCTAAATTGTACCCCTATAGTGCCTTCCCTGCTACACTATAGTTAACCAAACAAAACAGTACAATTCCGAGTTGGATAGAACTGAATCTGCGCAATCAACTCAACCGAACTGCAAAGCTTCCATCTTGGGTTCCTTTGCGAGCTCGTCCTTCCTGCTTGCACTGTTCATAGCGCATACAATGTTGTGCCAAAGCGCACATTGCGCGAGTACCTGCAAATGCATCAAGCGAAAAATGCGAAAGCAAACAAACACACGAACACACCATTCACACGCAAATGCATTCGCACACGCATACTCGTACAAACAGACGGCAGGATGTCGTGCAATGTGCATTTGCACCCAACACACTCCCCCTCAGCCTGCCGGCTGCATCCCCGTCATTCCATGCTAGTTCATGCTCATTCCACTCATGCGCACACAACGCCAATGAGGCTCATCCGCAAGCCTCTTGGTGAGAAAGTCTGCTGGCTGCTGGTGAGTCTTGATGTAGATCGGATGCACCGTCCCCCTCTTCACCTCCTTACGCAGCCAGTGCCACTTGATACGCATGTGCTTGTTCAGCCCATGAAGCACAGCGTTTCTGGCCATCCCAAGAGCCCCCTTGCTATCACAAAACAGCGGCGTAGCAACTTTCTGCTCCTGGCCAATCTCCTCTAACAGCCTCCTCAGCCAAATCACCTCCTTCACCCCATGGAACATCGCCATGTACTCTGATTCTACGGAAGAGAGTGCCGTCTCCGTCTGCTTCTTGGACCTCCAACTAACAGGTCCTCCCCCAACTACGCAGATGTATCCTCCCACAGATGAGGAATCCTCCTTCTCAGAAGCCCACGTAGCATCGGTAAAGCAAGTGAGAAATAGCTTGCCTTCTCCAAGCCTCTCCCCCTTCTCTTTCAGCACCTCCACCCCTTTCTGCTTCACCTGTGCAGATGCGGAGTATTGAACTCCAATGCTTGGGTGAGAGTTCAGGTACTTCACCACACGCTCAGCTGCATCCACCTGCTCCTCTGATGGATTCTGCACCACCCTAGCCAGCTGCCCAACCGAGAAAGAGATGTCGGGCCTCGTGTGAACTGCTGCGTACAAGAGGCTGCCCACCAAGGACTGAAATTGCTGCTGCTCTTCAGCTTCAACCCCTTCATCCTCTGCAGCCTTCACAAGCTTGAATTCTGCTGGCAGGGGAGTTGCAACCTTGCGCTCATTCTCAATCCCATACTTCTCCCCCAGCTCCTTGATGAACTTCTCCTGGTGCAGCTTCAACCACCTGTGATCTGGATCCCTCTCCACGTGCATCCCGAGGTAGTACTTTACCTCCCCAAGGTTCTTGCACTTGAAGTTTTCCATCAGTTGCTGCTGCACTTTCTGGATCTCCTTCATGCTGCTGCTGAAGAGAAGAATGTCGTCCACATAGACCAGAAACAGCACCAGCTTCTCCCCCTCGCCCTTGAGAAAGAGGCTCTCATCACAGCTGCTGGTCCTGAATCCCATCTCCTTTAAAACAGCTGCCAACTTCTGGTACCAGCAGCGTGGCGCCTGCTTCAAGCCGTAGATGGACTTGTTGAGCTTGCACACCCTGCCCGTACCATCCTCATACCCAGGCGGCTGCGTCATGTACACATCCTCCTCTAAAATCCCATTCAGGAATGCCGTTGAAATATCCATCTGAATGATGAATTTCCCACTAACAGCTGCATCTGCCAACAAGACACGGAGAGTAGGGGGTTTGGCAGTGGGAGCAAAGATCTCGTTGAAGTCCTGCTTCTCCTTCTGCATAAACCCCTTCGCCACCAGCCTACTCTTGTAGATGGTGACCTGCCCCTTGTCATCGGTCTTGATCCTCAGCACCCACTTGCATTGTATCGCTTTCTTCCCATCAGGCAGCACCACCAGATCCCATGTCCTATTCTCCAGCAGACTCTGGTACTCAGCATCCCTAGAAGCCAGCCACTTGTCCCTATCTGGTCCAGCTAATGCCTCCTCCATGCTAGCTGGTTCCTCTGGTGCAGGGGCAAGAAAACAGTACGCAGGCTCATCCTCCTCATCCGGGTCATAGCCATGAGGTAGAATCAGCAATGCCTCTTCGGTCCCTAGCTGCTGCTCTGCTGCATCAGTTCCTGCAGTCAGCTTCTTAGTAGCCATACGGGTACGTCCTGGCCTGGAGACGGGTGTCTCCCATCCCTTCATAACGACACCCTTCGGCTTCTTAGTTTTTCCCTGCTGCTTCTCTCCTCCCTCGGGTCCAGCAGCTCCACTAGTGCTGCCGCCAGTTTTCACACCATTTTCTCCACCAGCAGATGCCTCCTGTACCTTCTCTCCATCACCATTTCCAGCAGCTGCCTCCTCTCCCTCCTCCCACACACTAGGAGTCAGGTCCAGCTGCATGGTGATCTGCTCCATCTGCTGGGACACCCTTGCCTCCGGCTGTTTCTCCCAGCTCCCATACATCATGCCCTCAATGAATTTCACATCCCTGCTGTCAAACAACACACCCTTAAATGGTTCCCACAGCAGCCATCCCTTGCTCTCAGCAGCCAGCCCCAAATGCACACACCAGATTGCACTCGCCCCCAACTTACTGCGGTAGGTCTTGGGGACGTGGGCGACTGCCATGCAACCGAACACCCTCAGCATGTCCACCGGCGGCTTCCTCCCAAGCCACCTCTCCAACGGCACCCACGAGTCATCCCCAACCTTGGTGAGCACCCTGTTCCTAGCGACAGTGGCGTGCCGGACAGCATGAGGCCACATAGAATTGCTCAGCCCAGATTCTATGAGCAGCGCCCTAGCTGTCTCCAGAATGGTCCGGTTTGCCCGTTCTGCTACACCATTGGACTGTGGGGTATAAGCCGTGGTCAGCTCTCTCTGGATGCCCTGCTTCTTGAGCCAGGCCGTCATTTCAGCTCCAAGGAACTCACCACCCCGGTCTGTCCTAATCCGCTTCACTACACACTCCGCCTGCTTCTCCACGAATGGCAGCCAATCGTCCCGTATCGTGGAGGCGGCGTGGTCCTTCTGCTTCAGCGGATACGCCCACATCAGCCTGCTCCAGTCATCCACAATTGTAAGAAAATACCGCTCCCCCTTGTGCCCTTGCACCGGCAGCGGCCCCACCAAGTCCATGTGGACCAGCTCCAAAGGCTTCTTGCTCCTGCCAGCCACACTATGGAAAGGGAAACGGGTGAACTTTGAAAGCAAACAGATTTCACAGTTGTCATCGGGTGGCTGTCCGTTCAGCTTCAGACCCTTAACGGCTCCATCCTTCTCCAGCTGCTTCAGCAAAGGCATTGCCACATGCCCTAAGCGCCGGTGTGCCGTTGCCCAATCTGTCTCCCCAGATCTGGCCGACACTTTCACACCAACCCCTCCAACGGCATTGCACTCCCCCTGGGATGCAGACCCCTCTCCAGCCTGCCCCCCACCATGCCACGCCAGGGCCGGCAGCTGCCACATAGATCTGTACACGTCCTTGCTCTCGTGCAGATCCCAAAGCACCCGATTGCCCAGCTTCCCCTTATAAGTGCGTGCCCCATCCGTGTTGGTGTTCACCCCAGCCTTGCCAAGCTTACGGAGGGAGATAAGGTTGGCCTTCAGGTCGGGGACGAAGAGAACGTCGTGCAGCACCACCGGCTTGCCATCCGCTCCCTTAAACGCAGCTCGTCCCGCACCAGCCACCTTCAACATGTGTCCAGAGGCGGAGCACACTTCATTGATCGGTGCAGCTCGTACTTCGTCCAGCAGGTCCTTGCGCGGCGTCATCGTCCAAGCAGCGCCTGTGTCCAACACCCAATAGTCTAGGGGGTGCAGCTCTGCTCCAACTTTGGCA